GGAGAGCTGGTGAGACACGGAAGAAAGAGGGGCGGGTGGCGCTGGGCCCCTCCTGCGAGCCAACAGGCCGGGCGCCCGGCTGGGACTGGGAGAGAGCTCTGGCTACAGCCCGTCTGGCTACAGTCCCGCCGTCCAGCAGAGCCTCCCAGTGCCGCAGGGTGGGGTACGGGGTGAGGATAACGGGGTCTATCCCCATTCAGAGCACGAGGACAGGCGGGGCAGGATCTGTCCCAGGAGGGCCGGAGAGATCTTCCCGCGCCAGGGCCGCTCCGGCTGGTCTGCCTGAGGTCCCGTGCAACCCCCTCCGCGTCTCCCAGCGGCAGGCTCTTTTCCTTTCGGATAGGCCTGCCGCACCGCGCGCTTCTTCTCCGGGTTGTTTTGAGCATCGAATGACAATGGACATTTGGTAGCGTTTTAAAAAGTGACTTGTGCTGGAGCAGCAGGGAGAGGCTCTGGAAACTGTAATGTTCTCACCGCACGTGAGACTGTGCCCATGCAGACCCCAGCACCAGGGCCGGGTTGCTTTGAGGTTAAAGGGTAGCAGAGTTCATTAAAAACTACGTTCGAAAAGAAGTAATAAAGTATTTTTAAGGGGTTTCCTTTTTGCATTAGCGGATAGCATATTAAAATAAAATTAATATGAAAACCTTTTCACTGAGGTTGAACAGAACCCACATTACTGTCTTAATGACTTTGGCACTTGGTACTTGGTAAGTTCAATGTGACTACAGAGTGTCAGAGATACGAACACTCCGGATGCCATCTGGTCTGGCTCCCTCCTTGTACGGAGGAGGAGGAGGAGGAGGAGGAGGAGGAGGAGGAGGAAGAGAAAGGCTCAGAAAAAGGAAGGGACTTGCTTAAGGTCATCCAGCGACAAGCTGCACTAAGCACTGCCAGGCATGTGGCATTTCAATTCTACTAGCTTTATCATTTTACAAGCCCCTCCAAGTACTCTCTTCTGATTCTCAGGGCCCCCCTTAGGGGCAGATGACACACAGGAAGTCACGTGCCGATTCTGAGGCCCAGAGCGCCTGTTACGAGGTGCTCAGCACATCTAAGTGTGTCCACAAGCTGGCTGTATACACTTCCTTCAGATCCACTCTGCTGTCCTTAACAATTTTTTCATCGTTCTTTTTCTAGGACACAAAATCACACTGCCATTTTGCTGTTTAACCTGAGGACAGCACAGATGAGCCTTCATGCCTGTGGGCCTTTTGTGAGGGGGAGTCCAGAGTTCGCCTTTATTTTATTTTATTTAAAAAAATTTTTTTAACATTTATTGATTGTTGAGACAGAGAGAGACAGAGCATGAACAGGGGAGGGTCAGAGAGAGAGAGGGAAACACAGAATCTGAAACAGGCTCCAGGCTCTGAGGTGTCAGCACAGAGCCTGATGCGGGGCTCGAACCCACGGACCTCGAGATCGTGACCTGAGCCGAAGTCGGCCGCTTAACCGACTGAGCCACCTAGGTGCCCCCAGAGTTCGCCTTTAATGGGAAGGAGCGGGAAGCTCCTCCTTAGCCTTTCTGGGGAGCCAGCCCCCAATAGGGAGCAGACATCTCTCTGCTTCTCCAGGGCTGGGCTCTGTCCTGTGGTATGGGGGCCAGCTGGGGGGAGGTGCGACCACCACATGAGTCTGCAGTGCTGGGGGTCAGCCGGGAGGGCACAGGCTATGCCCTTCCTTCCCAGCTTCTTCCTCTTTGTTCTCTCGCTACCTGCCTCACCTAAAAGAGCCTGTGCCTCCTCTGTGCCATGCATTTTACAGGGGCCAAGACTTGCTTCTTGCCATGACTGGGGGAGAAACAGTTTTGAGACCCCACCTGGTGCGTGGACCACAAAGCCTGAGAAAGAGGCCGGGGTTACATTTTGCAGAGCAAAACACACTGGAACTAATGGGGCACCTGATCGGACTTTGAGCTTCAGTGGCGCTTTCTGAAGTAAGCCCTTGTGGGTTTTGACCTTGCAAGTTTGTAAAGGATTACTTTCTCCGTTACAGATAGCTTTTATCGTGGACCACTGGCTTTTAATCGCCACAGCTTGGGCAAGAAGATGTGAGTCTTAGCTCTTGGTGGGGTCCTGGAACTTATGATGTCATTAGATCCAGGCATGTGGCTGTTTCTCTAGGCAGGGCCTTAAGCAAAGGTGAAGGGCCTCGAGAAAGGTGGGCACTTTCTCAGGTCTTGGGGGAGCACAGGCCCCCCCACCCCCGAGCCTGGGGAAGGCGAGGGGCCTGAGCAGCACGGTGCCACCAGCCGTTCAGGTCCAGCAGCTGGCGCTTTGATGATCTTACCTAGGCTCTCAGCCTAAGTGAGTTATTGAAAGTTTGGACACCAGAGGCTTGGGAGGAACCCCCAAACCCAAAGGGAGAAGGCCGCTGCCGAAGGCACCCCAACTCCACCCAGGTGCTGGGGTTCCCTCTAACTGAGGCGGGAAGTAAATTTAGAACTTACATTTCATTAAATTATTAATTTCTGAGGGCAATAGAATTTGATTTGGGGCTTTTGCTTGCAAACTAATTTTTATGACTGTAATTTTTCCTTAGGAATTTTATAATTTAGGAAGTCTCTCCAATGTCATTATATCAGAATGTTTTAACAGCGTTATTTAATCACACTGTAGAAAAGCTATAGCTGCATTATGTCTAAAACAGCTACATTATGTCTTATGCCAGCTTTCCACTTTAGATACCGTGCGGCCTTGGAGTAAACCTAACTCAGGTACTGTTCTAACACCTTTGAGAGCCTCCAGGGGGCAAAATTGATATGGCCCATAGCAGCTCAAGGAGGATGCCTATAGGAATGGTGGTTGGTTTGGAGGGACCTGATGAAGATGGGGAGAACTGTATAGACACACGGCTGCTCTAGTCCCAGGAGGGACAGCCATGCTTCTGTGCGACTAGAGGCAGAATTGCTAAGCTCTATAGGGAATAAATGAATAATATGGGTGGGGCACTGTTACTTTGACGTGCCTGGTGTTTCCTTCCATCTGGAGGGAACTCAGTGTAACATCCTTTGATTTTCTGACCTGAGGCTCATTCTCCGCAGGGGAGGTGAAGGGACATCCCTGTTGGTAGGTTTGGGAAGTGCGAAGAGGGCATGCTTGGCTCTGTCTCTCCCTCCTCCCTCTCGGCATTGCAGTGCTCACAGGGGCAGGCGGCTGACGGGCTCCTCTGCCTCATGCTGACCTTCAGTAGAAGGAAGCACACCTCCCCATGGATATAAAATGAATCTTTCCACCTGTCCTTTATCAGTAACAATAAATGGCAATATTTTGGCTCTCATCTGCCTTCTTGTTTGTCTTCTCAAATAGTTTAATAGCCATGTGGGAAGGGAAGGTGACTTTTTTGGCATCCCTCAGAGACCCCATCCCCTATGACTCCCAAATGTGGGTCTTTGGGGATCCATGACATGGCATCTGTCCTCATTGCTGCTCTGCGGTGTGTGCCCCCCAGCAGACCCCCCAGCCTACCTCTGTGCTGGTCTTGGTCCTGGCTGGAGTTCTCTGTCTCTCCACCTCCTGGAGGGCATGCCCCAGATGGCATCTCTGAAGTCCCTGGTGTGCCCTCCGGGGCCTCCTTCTCCAACTCAGAGTGGGGATGGCTCCGTGTCCACCACGTCAGGCGAGCGAGCTGGAGGGAAAGAAAATACCGCTTGAGTCGGTTACTTTTGAGGGGAAGTCTTACTGTGGGAAAAGACAACCCCCTTCAAGGAGGCCGGCAAAGCAGTGAGGAGCTCGAGGAACAGGCACAGGGCCGAGTCAGGAGGCCTTGCTCCAGCCGAATGCTCTGTCTTTGAAAATCTGCACCCCTGAGCACCTGTTTCAGGCTCCATGCTTGGAAACTGGGAGGAAAGAAGCCGGACAGGGAGGCAGGTGCCACATGGCAAAAGGCTTCCAAGATCAGGCTGTGGAGTTGATACTCGTAAATAGAAACTCGTAGGCAATGGAGAGTCACTGCAGACTTCAAAGGGAAGAGACTCTAAGTTGTGGAATTTAGAAAGATCTCTTGGAGGGGTGCCCGGGGGGCTCAGTTGGTCAAACATCTGACTTCATCTCAGGTCATGATCTCACAGTTCGTGAGTTCGAGCCCCGCATTTGGCTCTGTGCTGACAGTTCAGAGCCTGGTGCATGCTCGGGATTCTGTGTCTCCCTGTCTCTCTGCCCCTCCCCCACTCGTGCTCTGTCTCTCAAAAATAAATAAACATAAAAAAAAAAGATCTCTCAGAGTGAATCAAAGGGATCCTGCCTGGAGGCTGCTGGAAAAGCAGAGCAAGACGTACAGAGCCTCTGGGATAGATGGAGGGGGCAGTCTTTGGGATGTTGAGGAGGAAGACCCACAGGCCTTGGTGACTGATTGAGCCGGGCGAGGAATCCGCAGACATGGCTCTCAGGTTCCTGCTGTGGGCCATCAGATGGGTGGTGGGCGAGCTGGAGGACTCTGCCTAAAGACTGCCAGCAGAGCCCGCCTCTGCAGGGTGGAGGTGTCCAGGTGAGGAGCACCACACCTGTGTCCCGTGGACAGCCCTGGTGGCTTGACCTCTCCTCCCTTTCTGGAGGCTCGGCAGAACGCACAGCAAGTCCTCTGGCTGATATCAGTTGGACCCAACCGTGACTGAGCTCTGGACGGCCTCCTTTCCAAACAGCCTTTTTTAGTAGCCAGGCAGCTCTTGGTTCCATAGTGACCCAGGTATCCCCTGCTCCGCCCCAGATTCCTACAAATATGTACAGCGGTGCAGGGTGAGAGGCCGTCTTCTGGGGCCCTTCCTGCCGGCGTCCAGCTACGCCTCTGCGTGGTCGTGAGAGCCTGGGCTGCATCTTCCCTTGTAAGTACATCTTCATAAATGTTACTTCAGACTTACACCGTGTGTCATTGAGCAGTATGTGGGCGGTGTCACTTCATGGCATGGGAGGCAGTTGGATTTGGGGTTTGAACCTTTGGCTAGCGACAGAGAATTGAGTTTTGTCTTCATGTAGAGGGTGGTTGAATCCACGGACACAGATAAGATAACTCAGAGACAGTGTGGGGAGAAGGGTTATAGGCCATATTTGGGTTCCTAAGGAACCCTGACATTTAAGACCACAGAGAAGGCAGAAGAGCAGAGGGTGGAAAGACAATACTGGAGTGGAATATGTCACGGAAGTGAACGGAAGAGAGCCCTTCAGGAGGCAGGGGGTGGTCAGCGGTGTCTGGTTCCCAGAGCTCACTGAGGATGAAGATGAGGATGTGACCAGTACTTTCTGCAACAAGAAGGTTATTGGGGTCTTGGCGAGAGCAGCTGCAGTGGGAAGGTGGGACACCAGACTGGATGAGACGTATACAAGAAGTGGAAAGTAAAGTAAAGAGGGAGACCCCTCTGCACGGTGTCCTGGTGAGGAGCAGGGCGGGGGGCAGGGGAGGCAGCCGTAATTAGGGAAGGGAGGGGATTTTCAAGTGTGAGACATCTCAGTGTGGGGCTGAGAGAGCAGACAATGGAGAAGAAATTGAAGATTCAGGCAGTGAAGAGAGACCATTTCTGGAGTGAGCCACCAGAGAAATTGGTCTCTCTTGGCTCCTTGGTAGGAATTAATGGTACCAAGGGTATAAAGTCGTTTTGCAAACTCTAAAGCACCATACAGGTCAGAGGTGTTATTCATAACTTCCACCCAATGTTTCAGGGACTAACTTCTGGCATGGGCTCTGTTATTTTTGGGCTGAATTGTGTCCCTCCTTCAAATTTATATGTTAAAGTCCTAACCCACAGGACTTCAGAATGTGACTATACATGGAGAGAAGGCCTTTAAAGAGGTAATTAAGGTTAAATGAAGACAATAGAGTGGCCCTAATCCAACATGACTGGTGTCCCTATAAGAAGGGGAGACTAGGGGGCGTGTCTGGGTGGCTCAGTTAACTGTCCCACTCTTGGTTTCAGCTCAGGTCATGATCTTGCAGTTTGTGAGTTCGAACCCCACATAGGACTCTGTGCTGATGGTGGGGAGTCTGCTTGGGATTGTCTGTCTCTCCCTCTCTCTCTCTGCCCCACCCCTGCTTGTGCTCTCTCTCTCTTTCTCAAAATGATAAATAAACTTTAAAAACAAAAGAAGGGGAGACGAGGGCACAGACGGGCACAAGGAAAGAGAGGGTGAGGACAGAGAGGAGAAGGCAGGCATCCGCAAGCCAAGGACAAGGGACCTCAGAGCAAACAGCCCTACAGACACCTTGACCTCAGACTTCTCACCTCCAGAACTGTGAGGACATACATTTCTGTTGTTTCACCCCCCCAGATTGTGGTTTCGTGTCATGGCAGCCGGAGCCAATACTCTTTTGCTCTAATGAAGAAAGGTTTCAAAAGACACCTTCAAAGTCTGAAGACTGGCAAATCTGTGAGCACAGGAGTGGTGAGGACTCGCTCTGGTGGACTCCCCTCATTTACCTGTGTCTCAACTGGCCAATGAATCCCTACTCTTTCTTCTAGGGCCAGCTCAAAGTGACCTTGTCAGGGAACCTGATGCAGCCCCCAGGGGTGACGGCCCCTCCTGTCCTCGGCCCCTCCCTTTGAGCTTGGTCCTTCTTCACTCTCTTGTGGTAGAGTAACTGCGTGTGCTGGTGCCTGTCCCCGACACTTGCTGGCAGGCCCCATTCATCTTGGTAACCCTAGCACAGAGCCCGGCACACAGTAGGTGCTCATTGAGTAAATTTCCCATTGAATGAATTACTTTTCACATGGGAATTACTAACCCAATGAGCTCCTCCTCCCAAAGGACTCTGTGTGGCTGCAGAGGAGACAACCCAATGGAGTAAAACTTGGTGGTAGAATTTCAGACACTGGGGGTAGGGAGAACATTTCGTGGGGCCCCAGGACAAGCACTCCACTTGCCTTCTCCTCAGGGATGGGGGTGGTACAGAGGCTGACAGTGACGATGACGATGGCAGTGAGCCCACAGAGCAGGAGTGCAAAGTAGAGGTAGTGGAAGTCCTTCAGCACGGCCGGCCTCCGGTCCACCTCCCCGCAGGCTGGGGCTGGGTATGAGAACTCCAGGATCATGCGCAGAAGCCCCACTGCCAGGCCAAACATGAGGCCCCAGAAGGCTCCCTGTGGAGAGAGGGCAGACACGGGCAGGGCTGAGGTCCAGCTGCAAGGCCCTAGGAAGCTAAAAGCCACTGGGTTGTTAGGGTGTTTGCAGGTCCGCCTTAGTGAGCTCCCCATTAATGCTGAGGCTTTGTCTGAACTCAAAGACGGGCAGAGTGGTGCACTGGGAAGGGCACAGAGTCAGACACACTAGGATTTGGATCCTGGCTCCATTCCAGAACGATCAAAGCAGTGACTCAACCTATTGGCTTGGGGTTTTTGTGTGTGCAATGATAAGAGAAATTGATACTCTGTATAGATGCTTAGTATTCAACTAGAATGGAATATGCTTTTGTAATAAGCAAGGAAAACCAGGATCCCCCATCCTGATTTTCTGTTATAATAAATTAAAAAATCAGAATAGAGCTCTTCTTGTTTTGCTTTTTAAAAAGAAAAGCCCCAGCACCTCCCCTGTCTTGTTTATAACACCAGTTGACCTAACCTATACCTGTTTCCCATATGTATTTTAAAAAATGAGATGCTGATCCTGATTTCAAGAATTCTGGGATGAGCAAAACACTCAGAATTCAACCAAGCCCTGCTGTGCACCATGGTTATCAGCAGGGAGATTCGACCTCTGGAAACAGTAGACAGATTGCTGGGTACTCCCCCGGGAGAGGGGTTTCTGAGGTCTCCTTTGCAATGACTTTGAGCTGTCATGTGGCTCCTGCAGCGGTTGTCCATAACATCCCTTAGCCCCAGCGGAGTTGGGCCCCTCTTTTCTATCTGGGGTGGGGGAGGGGTTCCTGGGACTTCTAGCTCCTCCAGGCTGTCAGCTTTCAGCAGCTTCATGAACGGCGTGTCTGCAGGGTCCTCCCCAGGTCCGCACTTTGCTTCATTGCTGTTATATTGCCTACATACAGAACCTTATGGTGTCAGAGAGGAAACAGACTCCAGAGGTCCTCCAGTCTGACTTGGGCTTTCACACACGCCATGCTACGTGTCTGGAACACTCTTCTCTTCCCCATCAATCCTTCAGCCTAGGCTCAGATGTCACTTCTGACCCCCTCCCAGGCATCCCATAAGTTAGGTGCCCCTGATCTCTACTCTCACAGCAGTTATTATATTTCGTTATTATTTCTTATTGAATCACCTTTTCTCCCATCTGGCAGGGATGATTCCCATCCTTGTAAATCATTGCATCTGGGAGCCCCCATAATAGGATCGATGAATGTTTGTTGAGGGAATGAATGAATCAAGACCTGATGGGTGGGGAGATGGAAGCCTGAATGGGACAGTGGGTATGTCTAATATGTCACAGAGAGACCCTGAATTAAGGACAGATCAGGTCTCCGGCCCCTCTGGTGTACTGGGAGAGACAGGTGTCCTGCTGCACTCACAGGCTCTGTGACCCTCTTGCAGAAGATGGCCAGCAGGAAGAGGGCAGTGATAGGCGGGGCCAGGTAGCTGGTGACAGACTGGATGTAGTCGAAGAGCTGCCCGCTGTTGGAGCTTTGGATGATGGGGATCCAGAGGATGCTGATGACAACCAGGAACACCACAAACAGTCTGCAGGGAGGACACAGGGCACCATGAGGCATGCTCAGGGTGGCTGGGCATGGGGTGGGGGGAAGGTGATGCAAAGGAACCAGGAAAGGGGAAGGGAGGGGATGCATGAGAACAAAATTAGAGAATGCTATGAGACCGGAAATGCCAAGGTTCTGGAAATGCAGACTGTTCAAATCCCAGAATATCAGAATTCCAGAATCCAAGAAACCCAGGAGTTTTGAGTTGGATGTCTTTAAAGTCATAAAGCCCACCTGTTCTTCAGGAAGGAATCCACACCTTTCACAGCACCACCCACCTCAGTAAATGGCCTCTGGTCTTGGCTTGGGATGCCTTTCCTTCTCTTCTACATTCAAACCCTGTGCAAGAGAACCCTCTTCTCCAGGATGGCTTTAACTTCAGGGACTTTTCCCTTCTTTGGGCTCCTCCAGATCTAACCCCTGCACCCTTACACTGGCATTTAGCTCATAACAGGTACTCCACCTTCGTCTCCTGACTCCCCTTCAAATGATCCTGGCTCAGGCTCAAGTTCCCTAATGCACTTCCTTCGGATTTTTTGTGAAAACAGTGAAAAACGTTTCTTGGATGGGCTGGGTGCAATAATGCATGTGGCCAGGAGATGGCGCCCAAACCCCACTGATGGATGAAATAAATGGCAGTGAAACTGGGCTGTGAGGGAGCTCAAAGGACGCTTGTTTGGAAATGTCTCTGCACACCTGTCCTCTCTTCTCCCTTCCCTCGCACATTTTCTCTCTCAGGCCCCACTAGAGCGGCA